TAGCTCCGAAGAAAAGCTAGGAGAGAGATTCATTCCCAGAGGAAAACAGGCCCCACTGCTGGCTTGGAAAACTTGAGAATCTGATGGAATCAGAACTTCAGGCCAGGATGGATCCTCTGAGGCTGGACCACTTCCATGTGGGGGGCTTGTGTTTAGGTTTGCTGTTTGTTGTTTCCCTTCCTGCAGTTGAACCCCTACCTCCCCTCCCATATGCCAGGCGAGAGCTGTACCACTGAGCTACACCTCCAGTCCCAGGACCTGGTCTTGATTTCCCAGAAAAATCACAGTCATCTAAGCATAGCATGGAGTGGGCCACTTAAAAAATGATAACCATCCCAGTGCTGAAAATATTCCACCCTCTAAGTGGATCTAAGTGGATGTTACTACAGAAAGTCCAGGTCAAAAAGAGAGAGAGAGTCAATGTCAGTCTATAAAACTCACCCTCAGACCATCACACATCACAGGAGAGAGAGACGGAGAAAGAGAGAGAGGGAGGGAGAGAAAGAGCTCTACTGTGAGTATCCACTGTAAAAATGTCACTCTCTGGGCTTCCTTATTCTCTACAGTAGATTTCTCCAACAGTCTACTAAATATTTCTGTGCTGTTCAGAAATAAACTTCTCCGTGAAGGCTAACTTGGTTCTGTTATCCTGTTCAGGCACCAAAGATAAAATAGAAATATAGTCTTCCACATGAATAAGACTTTCACAAATGAGACCCCCAAATTCAGCCTACAATCTCTTTTTCTCCTTCCCTTCCTCCTTCTGTTCCTCCTCCTCCTCCTCCTTTCCTTTATCACCGTCATAAAAGGCATATTATAATGTTTAAACACAGGATCTTCCATAAATATGCGTTATATCACTTTCCATCCCAACGTCCTTCTGTCTGACCACTCTGTTGACAACCCTACTGTCCATCGCGGGGAAAACTAGTCACTTCTCTGGAGGTAAGACCTAAGTGCAAAATTTGGGAATGTTTCTCATTGATGTCCACACAGGCAAAGGCTTTTGGAGAAAGAAATCAATGTCTCATTCAGTTCTATAGCTCCTCATTGTTTATAGATGGTCCATCTCCAGCTAATTCATTCCTTTGGAAGAACAGTTGACTAAACCCTGCTCATGAGTGGGGATTTTAGTTCTAACGCAGGGCTAATTCAGCAAAGAATTTTTAAAGACCAACTTCTCTAGGAAGGAACCTATAAGAGAGTCACGCTTTTTCAGTTTCCCAGCCAAGGTAGGTCACAAGGAAGACAGTGTCATTAAGAACAGTAGTAATAATAAGAAGCTGAAATCAGAATACTTGGGCATGGCCGGTACTACATGAAGTTTAACACAGAAAAGAGTTTTTCATTGAAATTCATAAGGAAGTGACATCCCTAAGCAGAGTAAGACTGGATGCAGAGGTGTGGGAACTGATGTTACCTGTTGTGTTCTATGGTTTTATTCTTTCGGGATGCAATGTCTGGGTGATGCTGGAGGTTGGGTTGAGCTTATGTTTGGTGTGGGGTCCCCCCCACCAAATAGCACATGGATGTGTTTCTTCAAATCTCCAACTTGGGTAATCAAGAAGGAAATTAAAGAGCAAATTTCAAGACTCCTCTCACAACCGGTGTGTCTGTGCACCTGTAACTCAGAGAATGGAAAACGCTGGTTATTTATGACGGGCTTTCTGCCTCCCAGATCTCCCCCGAGTTGACCCGATTTTTATAGCCCCTCTACCCAAGCAGTGAAGATTCTTCCCCCACCACACCGCCCCTCCACCCCACCACTGAGCGGCTTAGGAGATGTGTAACTGGGATGAAGCAGCTGTTGGCTTCGCGCCGTCCTTTAACTTGATTATTCTTTGGACACGTTAGGCAAGCATTAGTGATTGATAATGACGCTAATTAACCCCTTTCCTTTCCAAACAGTAAACTGCTGCCAGCAGGATGCTACAAACAATAAATATAAAACACTGCATACATCAATATCTGTTTAAAGCACAACTTCATTTAGGCACATTTAACTGTACTGCTTTCAGTTAACAATTCGGTATTTATTCAAGCACTTCTCTGAAAGCCGGAGGGTAGGAGCCAGAGGAAGCCAGCGGGTTAAGAAAAGGGGCCCGTGGCTTAAGACCACAAAATGTTGTCATACCTGTCAGTTGTGGCAAAGTTAAGCTCTAATGGAAACCATGCGGTTTTTTTTTTTTATTCCCAGTCTGTACTTTTTAAAAACTTAATTAATCCAGTTTTTTCTTAACCTATTTAAACTTAACACAAGGCTGGTGACCGCATGTATTTTCTTTGTGGGGGGAAATCGGCTCTCCTGTTTGACAAAAAAAGATTTTTTTAAAATTTACTTTTGGTTGAAAAGGGAGTAGAGAGACATTGTCTCCTAGAGTGGTACCATTTGGACTTTAAACAGGATTTGGTGGCAACCAGGGCATATTGGATCAGATTGTGCAGTCTAACATAATCTGAGTTGTAAAGAAATATATATTAAATTTAGAATTTTGATAAATGAATATTCCTCGCAAGTGAATAAAATGTATTCAATTAACTAAAACCCTGTGCACTTCTGAACTGAAGTGGAATCGACTGTAATTGATTTATTTGAAACCAGAGGTTAAGGACTGAATTAGCTAAGTACAACTGGGTATTTCAAACCACTGACTTCTCAAATGTCAAATCCCTTCTATTTTAAATATTATTTCAGCTGCGGGGCATTGCATGCCTGATGGTAGTTCCATCAAAAACGCAAATTGTATTAATATTCGATTTTGGGGAGCAGTGGGTTGGATTGTGGTTTCTAAAGGGTGCTGGAGGATAGAGGGGGGTAATAAAGACTACAAACCAGAAAGGGAATTGTTTCCATAAAAATGGGTGTGGTAATTAGCATGGCCTATCAGCATTTCTATAATTCAACTATGTCTCCTAATTTGGCTTAATCCAAAGAGAATCACTATTGTTAGTATACAACACCTGAACTGTCATGTAATCACCATGTGATTTAGGAAGTACACCATGATCACAAGAAAGTCAAAACCCATGTAGCCTTTGGTTAGCCCAACAAAAATTATTTTTTATAAAAAGCTTCCTAATACCCCAGCCCTTAACAATATATTTAGCACTTTTTTGTTAAAATAAGAAAAAGCAAAGAGTGTCAATATCATGATCCTCCAAATGCCCAACTACAGAATAAAAATAACTAATTCCCTGCATTTGGAAACCATTGTTTATTATGACCTTGTAATGTTCTAACCCACTATTTCCTTTCTATCTTTCTCAGGATGCAAGGATTATATTGGGTTCAGGCTTTCCAACATAACAAGCATCTGTAAATCCAGATATGAATGAATGGTATTTAGTAAGATCGTTTTCGTTTTAAAATGAGTATTTATGTGTCGTTGGAGAAAGAGCAGCAATGTATGGCTGTTTATGAATGCTATTGTGCCTGAGGTTAGGATCCCCCACACAATCTGAGAAGCAGCCAAGAAAAACAGCCCTGATAGACAATGCTTCACTTCACCTGCTACGATGCTGTGTGCATTTCATTTCTGTCAAGAGTATGTACAGTTAGGGTTCATTCGCCTCATTATTTTGTTACATCTACGTTACAGTTAACCAGTCTCTCTAGGAAATAATAAATAACCGCTTTAAAAAACAATTGCCGCGTTGCGTTCTGAGAATACACTTTCCATTAGAATTTTTTAAGCCCACCATTGTTATGAATTCTCTGGCTTTGGAAAACAGAATTTAGACTCCACCAACTCTCGTTCGTTTGTAGAGATTGATTTGACCCTGCCTTCCATAAGGAGATTAGAAAGCGAAGAGCTGCAAAATGGACACTCTTTAACGCTTTGCTTCCTTGGCCCTTCAGAACAGAGCGCCAAGCCCCACAACAAATGTTAAAACCCCATCCCAGGGCGTCTTTTCCTAAACCCTTTCCCAACATCTTTCCAGTCAGCCAATCTCCAAGCTCCCTTTTCCACCCTTACTTCCAAAGCAAGAAATTTCCAAATCAGTTTATAAAAGCTCTGAATGCGCCATCTTTATGCACAGGAAGTCCTTCCTGTCCACAGGGCTCAGCACACAGTCCAGCAACTGGGGAAGGCAGGAGTGGTCTGCGAGGGCAGCTCCTCAGGCTCCTCAGCCTGCTCCACCCTGGCCTCCCCTCCTCCTGCCAGCCCGGTTGTGCTTGTAAAAGTCCGTAGAGATGGGAAGGGGTGGGCCAGCACTTGGGGCAAGCAGAAGATTCTAGGGATCAGCTAATTTCCCACTCTGCTCTGCTACGCCCAGAGTGACTGAAGAACACCACCACATTAAACCCATCTCTAGATAAAGTATTAAAATGAGACAATTTGCCCTCTCCTAATGTGTTCCTTGCATACTTCTACCACTGTTTCTTTTCTCCTCCAGAAAAGTAGAGTGGGTTTTAGCTCCTGGATATGTCTCAGCCACAGAGAACCGTGAGCAAACAAGTGAAGGCGGAAGTAGGGATCTTCTTTCTGCTCATGAACTGATAATTTACATTTCAGCTATCTTGAGACAAACTGGAAAGCACTGGGGGGGGCTGGGGTCTTGGCCCCCTTAGTATTTGGCTCTGGAGGTTTTATATTTTGATTTCCAAAATGCAAATGAAAATCTAAAGGATCAACATAAATAAAATAAAACTTTATTTTTAATAATAAAATGAATGTTTCTGGTAAGGAAAAGACAGTATGTCATTCCTTTAGCAGTACAAACAATCTTATCCAAAAGGTTTTTACATTGGGTTTTATTGTGTCATTTGTCTGAATACAGACTCGGTGGAATATCTAAATGATACCCTGCTCTGAACTCCAAGTTGAAAGTAAGTTTTTATTATACTTGAGGGAAACAATGGGTTCAGCTGCTTATTGCAAGGAGCAATTGCCAAGGGAGAGTTAAACTCAATTACTGTAACCATACTGAATAAAAAATACTGCCAAGAACAAAAATACGCCTGGGTAAAGACAGCCACTGAATAAAAAAAATCGACATAAAGCGTATCAAATATTTATTTATCTGGGCAACAAAGGACTATGATACATTGACAGGCATGAAAACTACTGCCGGCACAACTCAATACAATACAACTAGAACTGTATCCAATAGGGCCAGTGAAAATACAGGACACCAGGTGGTCCCAAATGTTTGAAGTTCCTTGAACAAAAAGAGAAAGAGAGAGAGAGAGAGGGAGGGAGGGAGGGAAGAAAAACCCCTAACCCTTGGTGTAAAGTCAATATTCATTTATTGCTCAAATGATGCTTTTAAGGGAGGATAGTAGAATAAAATAAACTTCTTTTTTTCTCCCCACAATCCACAGAAGGGATATCAAACTGCTCAAGTTTAAAAATCTTTCCAGGGTCCAATGTCACTTTTTTCTTTCAGTTCAATGAAAAGCTAAATGTAATACTAATTATATATAAAATTTTATTTTCCTTTTTTTTTTTTATTTGTCCAGCTGTTTCATTGTCACCTTTAACATGCTACAACAGGGCTAAATTCATGAATTCCAGAGGAAAAACAAAATTCCCCAAACCTTGGGATTCTAAATAAGTACCATGAACCACATGAAGAACTAATAGGGAAGATCCAAAACCCACTAAACAAGAGGTAAACGAGATCACCAGATAAATAAAAAAAGGCGGAAAACAGACTCACCATATTTACAAATCCCATTAAATTACACATAAATAAATATATACAGAGTTGTGAACACTGATTCCCTTATATGACCGTGAATCGTGTTGCCAGAGAGAGTTCATGTTGGTCACTTTACCTTGGAGAGGGAAAACTTCTACAACTGAAGACATGACATGGAACTTCGTGTATTTGTGTTCAAGTTTATTCACAATACTGATAAAAATGTCATTACGCTTTTTGCCTTTTTTTTAAAGTATGGCTACAATCTGAATTGACGTATGTAAGGGAAGGTGGTGATTCAGTCCCATGAAGCTCATATAATTTTTTTTTAATTTTTTTCGTTTTTTTTTTTAGAAAAAAAAGTTTTTAATGTCTGTTGGTGATTTGTTGGTTTAAAAAAAAAAAAAAAGATTCACAAACGCGACAGAACTTTTCTGTGCTGGCTTCACGGCCTGTTCTGTTCTCTTAGGCTCTACAGGAGGACAAGGGGGTAAGTCGAGGAAGGGGGCGGAGTCAGCGGCAGCGGCTGCCCCCTGGCAGTGGAGAGAGCAGTCCCGAGGACTCTGGGGACCGGAGGGCGGCGACAGCGGCAGCACAGAGCAGCAGCAGCAGCAGCAGCAGGAAAGGTGGCTGGTCCCCAAGCTGTCACCTGCCGGTGGGTGCGGGCAGGGCGGGAGGCGAGCCTCACTTTCTGTGTTTCTCCTCTTTGTCACTGCTTTTGGCGCTGTTGTCCGTGTGGCTGTTGGGGTTGTTGCTGAGGTACATTTTGTCCATGGCCTTGAGGGCCTCCGTGAGATAGTTCTGCAGGGCCGTGACCGCGGCACACACCGCTGGGCTGCCGAAGCCGTGGGAGATGAGGTTGAAGTGGGTCAAGCAGCTCTGGATGCCGGGCTCCAGGATGGGGTTGGGCCTCGAGTTCCCCAGGGGAGATCTGTCCTGAGCCAGCAGGTCGGTGAACTCCTTGCATATCTGTCTGCAACAGAAATGGGGTGGAGAGAGAGAGATGTGAGGCTCCCTGAGGGCACCAGGGGCAGAGGAAAACTTTTCTCCCTAAAGCTACCTCTGTCCCCTCCCAGCGGGCACTGCAGAGCCCGAGGCCACCAGCAGATGTGCAGCCCCTCACTGTCCACTGAACCGTCTCTCCTTCCCTAAATGCATGTCCTTCCTGCCTTCACAAATGCCATCCTCCCTCCCTCCCTCCCTC